GAATAGTATTTTTTTTACACTTGCCAGTAATCAGAGAACAGCCTAACAACAAGATGGGCAAAAAAAAAGATATAATGAAGTGTCCCTGCCTAACATCGCATGACTTTAAAAGCTGTAAAAAACTGGTTTAGAAAACACCTAAGAAGGCTTCCTGGGTTTGGGTGGTCTATAAACTGTGGCAGTAGATAGTAGATTGGGGGATAGAGACATTTAAAACAAGGCACTTAAAAGAAGAGGGAGGAGGTATAGTAATAGGACTTAAATTGTAAAAAAGGTTGTAAATAATAATGAGAATAACAATAATAATATAAAGAATAATAATAATGTAAAGAATAATGATGCTTGAGAGACACAGAAGGTCAAACAAACCATACCCAGGAGGGACTAGTTGGTTAAACAGCAGTCCATTGTTTTGTCTGTGGTTTGAGTTAAGCACAGAAAGTCCAGTTTTTTTTCTCTGATAATGTCACATAAAAGAGCCTTGTTGTTTATGGAGCGGGTATTGAGTATTGCTGATCTGTCCAGTCTCGAGGATGCAGGGGGAAGTGGAGTGCGCTCCATGTAAAAAGTATAAGTTTCAGCTTTTATAATTATGAATTATTCTGGATGTGAAGTGTCTATTTCTGTATCTTTTTTCATATCCTGTCTCCTTTTTTGTATTTCTGGTGTTTAAATAAAAACGTTTTTAAAAAGCCCACCGTCCACTATTCCATCCGGGTACTATTGAAGCCTCCCTGGCGAAAATGGGATTCCATAAAATGAGTGTAATTAATTTGATTGTTAATCAGGGCACTTGATAAGACAAGTCTTTAGGCCTATAGATCTTGTACGATTTATGAATATTGTAATGGAACGGCCGACTTACAGGTTGTACGATCTGGTTGCAGTGCGGCGATAGCACTGCCCTCCCCTGCGCATAAGGGATGTTGGCCGGTGGGGCTAAAGAAGGTATTTTTTAGCTCAGCTGGCAAGACCTGGGTCCGAGCCCATGCAGTGAAGCATGAACTAGGGTGGGAGCGGCGAGGGCACAAGCCTTAGAACCCGAATCCATTCCAATCCAAATACAAAAAGGACACACAATGAAATTTGGGCTATTTCGAAGTTGCAAATGTGAGATAAAAAGTCGCAATGATGAGATATAAAGTCCTAATTCTGAGATTTTAAGTCACAATTCTGAGTTTTTACATATCTATTCTGAGATATAAAGTCACAATTACAAGATGTAAAGTTGTAATTCTGAAATTTTAAGTCGCAATTGTGAGATATAAAGTCAGAATTCTGAGATACAAAGTCGCAATTGCAAGATACCATAGCGTGTTTTTTTTTACTCTCTGGTGGTAACGGGCTTTCATAGTTTTTAACTGATATATCTAAAGTCTTTTCGTGTTGATTAAAGTGTCCTCCTTTCAGTTGGATTGCATGATTAGCATGAAACAACTCAGGGTTAATTGTTATGATTTCTCCATTATTATCAAATCCCTCAACTATTTTGACATGTTCCTTTTAACAACATTGCTCTGTCAATAGACACTGAAAAACTTGGAGTTTGTAATGTCAGACACTCTGAACGAGTTAAGCTTTGATGCACTACAAATAAATGTATTTTCCACAAGCTACTGTATACTGTAGTGGTTTTAAAACTATGCAACATCTCGCTGTATGCATGTGGCACATCTTTGTTCAAGTTTTAAAACTACATTTGATTGCAGGTTGCTTTATGTTAAAGAGCAACAATGACAACAGAGCATGCTACTGACAATTCCTTCCCATCCCCCAGAACTGGCAGAACTGTCTATTCTACATTGGGGTTTAACACCTAGCTTAGCCTTTGTGAGAAGTATGGAGCTGTGTTACATAAAGTGGCTGCAATGGAATATACTAGTAGGTAAAAGTTAATTCCAAGCTGGAAAGAAAAGACTCAATGTGACTCCTTTATAAATCTTCAGTTTACATGACATCCAAGTTCATTTATTAGTACTTATATCTTCCGTATCGCATTTAAATTGGAACATTTTACAAGTGTAAATCCACCTATTTTCTAATCACTTTATCCACGACAGGTAACAGTTTCACCAATACTATTTGGTATCATTTTTTACAATTTTAACAGACTTCAGAATGCCTCAACTGATTGTTACTGTGGTAAGATCACAGAACATCTTTCCACCTGTGAAAAGATTTGCATATGTAGTTTATTCTTATCTGTGTGAAAACAGGAATTACAGAGGGAATTTTAGAAATTAAACAGAGGTCTGAAACACCCTGTCTCAGGGTCTCAAAAATAGACATTTAATAAATTGAAAGTTGTGAAAACAGTGACAGATCACCCCGAACAAAATAGAAGTTTAAAATACAAGTTTATACAAATACAATAAAAAAATTATTTGTTGTTATTAATAAATCACTTAACTACGAACATGTTGTGATATTTAGAAATACCAAAAAATTCAATATAGTGTCCATAATATTTATTTTTTTAGTTTTTCAAAGAAATGTTTATTTGTTAAAAGAAAACTTATGGCGAGAGTTGGGTTCAAATTCCTGACCTCCAGCATGGAAGTCAGATGCCTAAGCCATTACACCAACACAACCACTTGACAACTTAACTTATAAATGAACAGGGCACGCAAAAAGTATCCAAGTTATCGTGGGTGAATGAGTCAAATTGATGCAGATGTTTACAAAGAAAGTGTACTATTGTGATAATTTGAGCTATATGAAGATAATTATATCGTTATTAATTTCTTTAGATATAAGGTTAAAATGATAACTTTATAAAGTATTTAAACTGAATATAGTCAGAAGGAGCACATCAAAACTTTTTCAAAATAACCACAGTATGTAACCGAATGAAAAACATGAACAGCTTACATAATATGTTTATATTCCTAAATTGATATCATTTATTACATTCAAACATTATGTTCCTGTTATTTTTGTGTTCAGCTACAAAAAGTTCCCTTTAGTTGTAAAATTGCATGTTAATATTCACTATTAAGCGGATTTAAACATGTACAGTGAAGAGACTAAATGAAGCAATCATTTCACTAACAAACAATGCACCACGAGTGCCTCCTGTCAGTCATTTTGGCCAGCCAATCATGTACTGCGGTATTCCACACTAATCTGCAGATAATTTTGCACATTACGGGGTTTTACCGCACATTTTGAATGTCTGCATCTGTACTTAAGTACACAAATCATATGATTAATTTTTTAAGCTCTTAATGATGTTGGATTTCTTCTTCACTGTTAGATATTATATGCAACTTGGATCCTATTCACCTAGATAGAAGCCTTCAAAAAAAGAGCTGTGCTGTAATGCTGTAAAGACGAGTGTCTTTGAAACCTGTTATTGTTGCTCTTTCTAATGATCTACTGTCAAAACGAGAAGTTGGTTATTGGAAATGTATACAAGTATAAATTTGGCGTTTCATTGGAGAGCATTTAATGCACTGCAGGTTGAATTCTTTGGTATCTTCAAGCACAATGTCATTTCTAATCCTGTGTATTTTATGAACATGTTTGGTTTCCTTGTTACATCAACAAAGCCAACTATGAAGCAGTCTGTTTTGGATCATTATTGTTTTTAAATTGTAAGAAAATCCTTAATAGAGCACAGGTATGGAAAAACCATCCCTCTGCCACAGTTGTAAATTTGTTTATGCCTTTTTCTCGCAGTGCTTTCTTTCTGCCTTGTCACATTTTGTGAATTTAAGCATTTTGCTCTAAAAAGATATTTGGGGAAATAAATATTTGACTGACAAAAAATTGCTAAAAGAAAAATAAATATGCTAAAAGAAAACTTTAATTCAGCTATAATAATGCTGGTCCTTATTTTACCTATGGGTAAACTGTTCACTGTAGTAAATTCATTTGAAGAGCAGTTAGCCCACTATGAAAATCCTGTGTATTTAGCCCATCTTTGGGATGGAAAAATGTTAATGTCAAGTAACACAATGCTGCACTCATCTTCTCTAACTTCTGCCCTTCATTGCAAACCTGTCTAGCTTATCCATTTCTAGCTCCTTGTCCCTTCTTCTGCTGCTCCTCTCTCTTCTGTTACCTCCCACCTGACTCTGCTTCCTGTGCTGTGTTATCATCGCTTTCTTCAATAAATGTAACAGCTTGTTTTTTACACTGATGTCTGCTTCTTCCAAATCAATACATCTATCATAAAAAAGTAAAATCTAGTAAAAAAAACTTTGGTATTACAGAAGCTATGAAACAATGGATAAAACACAAGTTCTACACTCCCTTACCAAATTTTTTTTTTACCAACCTTAAAGACTTGATTTGATTATTATATGCTGTGGGTATAGCTTTGACCATGTAGAACTGTATTCTGCTTTTTGCTTTCATCTTTTAATTTTGATTGCTATTTTTTTTAAATGTATTTGTATCCACAAAGAAAAAAGTAGACAAATATTTGTTATGGAATGAAAGAAGTAAAGTATGAGTTCTAAGTTTTTAAAAGAAACCACTGTGTTCAATGCTTTGTAAACATTTCTAAAAGGATATTTGGTTTAACAAAACATTGTCTGAAACTAAAATTGAAATTGAAATCCCTTGGCATGTATTAAAACATTGTGCCAAGTAAACTCTGATTGCAAATATTGCCTGCTCCTAAGCATGATCTGAATTAATTTCAGGGCACAGAGTTCAAAGTCAAATCTTTATTGACACAGAACCTCACCCTAATATGCCAGAACTACAGTTGATAAATATACTGTAGATTTCCTAATTTTTATATGTAAGCTTCATTGCTTAGATTACATCACATTTTATTTGCTAACCAGTATTCTCATTGCAGATCTCATTCTCATCAGGATTCTGCAGTTTTTTTATTACTGGTTTCAGCTAAAACATTATCAGTCATGCCAATGGATCTTTTGAAAATACCAGCACTTGGTAAAGGTTTCATTAAACACTGAGACCTCATGGCTCACCAATAAATAGTAGGAGAGTTTGTCAAGTTGACATAACCATTTTGTCCACAGGGGGAAAGAGGATCAATGGGCAGAAAGGGGATGAAGGGGCAGAAGGGAGAGCAAGGACCTCCTGGATTGGACCAGCCTTGTCCAGTGGTGCGTGAAACAGGCTTTTATATTGTTTATTTTTCACCCATCAGCAGAGCTTGGGCATTATAACCAGCCGCTCCAATGCTCAACATGACTGGCAACCCACTAAAGCTAAGCAGGTATGAGCCTGGTCAGTACCTGGATGGGAGACCTCCTGGGAAAAATTTAGGTTGCTGCTGGAAGAGGTGTTAGTGGGGCCTGTAGGGGGCACTTAACCTGCAGTCTGTGTGGGTCCTTATTCTCCAGTGTACTGATGGGGACACTATACTGTAAAAAGGTGCAGTCCTTCAGATGAGACGTAAGTGGAGTGGAATGTTCTGAAACTCAGTATATAAGTGAGTGTAAGGAATGATTAATTATTATTCTCAAATAAAGAGAGCACTCTTAAATTGGGAAGGCTTTGCAATGTATCTTTTGGCTCCCTGCTCAACATAATGGCTGAGACACTTTTGAGACGTGTTTCTACATGTGTTTGCAGACCAAAAAGACAGCAAATACAATGAACAAGGGCCAACATTTGAAATCATCATTTACATCATTTGATGTATTCATAAAGTGTTCAGTTACAATTTAACGCAAGTCAATTTGTAATTCTGTTTGTTAATGTTGAGCTTTTTCATACATTGAAAATTGAAAATTACTTGGACTGAAAAACTCAGCTGTTACCTTAATTTTCTTTCAGTGACATTCAATGGATCACATTAGGGGCACAAGGTCACTATGAATACAGTCTTGAATATGGAAAACAACTTCTTGATATCTGTGTATGCCTTAGTTTCTCAATGTATTCAGCCAATTTGCACTATATTCAGTCTGAAAGAAGAAAACAAAACATGTTTTGTACTACAGTGTTGTCATTTTAAAGGGATTAATGAAGAAAAACATGCTAATCCATTTCTAAAAATTCAGAGTGACTGTGGCCATCTAATGTAGCACATTTGACTATGGTGACTCCACAACCAGTTTCTTGGTAACAGTACAAGTTGATCTCACAAACAGGGTGCTGAAGGTGGTAAAGGAGAGCCTGGGGAGACAGGTCTGCCTGGCCTGGATGCTCCCTGCCCCTTGGTACAGTATCTCTTCTTCTTTCTGTCCTTCTGTCTTTCCACCTTCTGGGGCAATGATGGCCACTTCAATGTCACAGAAAAAAACTTGGCAAGCTCAGGCAAGGTTTGCCAGACAAGTGAACCACATTCTTCTTTACCTCTTATGATTTTTTTGCAGATCATGCAAAGCAAGATATGAGGCAAGCCACCCAATATTCTTGACGGCTTCTTGTGAAGAATCCTGGGTGATATGACCCTGCCTTTGCAAAAAAGGGGTCCATAAAAAGCATTAATCTCCCTTCTGTACTGGCCATCACTATACCAGTGTGTGTCTTTGTCTCACTTGCAGGGGCTATAGATTAAACAGGCTGATGTCTGCAAAAATAAATATGAAAAATAAAATCTCTCAAACATTACGTTTAGCATCACATTAAAATCTAATTTATGCCTCCTAAAACCTATATCAACAGATTTATTTGTGAACCAGGCTTAGTTATTCTAATATAGTATGTCCAGTAATTGAGAAGTGAAATGCTATTTGTTCAGGATTTAGTTGATGCTCTGCAATTAAGTTTGACAAGAGCCCCTACAAATTATTTTTTCTGTCTGCTGTCAGTTTCTGGGCATCCATCTAACTGTCCTGTTTTTCATTGAAAGATAAAACAGAAAGTGTGACAGATTCTGTCATTTTCGATATTTCACAGTTAAGAAGAAAGTGTTGGAAGGTACTTATTCTCTAGTGAAGTGTGTATCAATGATCTTAAAATCCACTCTCTTTTATAATATATGTGTTGAAATCTTTTTCTATGAAGATTTTTTTCAGAAATTAGTAGGGACACAAAACCTGTTAATCAAAATAGTGTCTGCATGGTTTGAATTCTTGACATGCAGTTTTGAAAGCATGAATAGTAATTGTTGATGTTTTGAACTAACCAATTCCTGTTTAAATTACAAACGTTATGTTTTTTTTAAATTGAATTTATATGCACTGCAGAGCCTAAATATCAGTAATGGAGCCATGAATGTGTCTTCCCATTCATTGATAAAATATACCAATACCATTTGTAAGGGCTTATTTATATTATTTTCATTATCACTTCTTATTTTTGTTTAATGTTAGTGTGAATTACTTTGAAACTTTGTTTCTAAAATTACTATTTTGTTCATGGCTGTAAATATTTTCCATTCTATGCATACTGCATGATCAACCACTTTTGGTTTTGCTGAAATTATTTGTCATATATAAATCAAATAAAATTAGCTTATTTAACTTCTCAACAAGAATAAAACATTATATTATAAAGCCCACCAGCATCAGCTTACAATACTTTGACAGTGGGATCTGTGTATGGGAATGTTAATATCTCTACAAACTGTTTCCCCATAAGCTGAGCTCTTTTGTTACTCACTGAAATATTTAGTTGTTATACTAAGTACTGTATTAATCTAAATAGAATAAACAAAGAAGGACCACACAGAGAGAAAACATACAAATGAATACTGACTTGAAGGAAAATTCACTTAGGAAAAAAAGATAGTCTTTCTTCAATGCCTTAATGGTGTGTCATAATACTGTATCATGTCTCAGATATCTTTTAAACTGTACTTCTGTGTAATGAAAATTAGCACAAAACCAATTTGACACAACCGATTTAAGTTCCACAAAGTGAAGAATTACTTAAAGTTCTGCTAATATTAAGTTGAAATTGATATTCTTTATAATCGCTTTAAACAGAATGAAATATAAAAAGTAATGTATTGCAAGTTAGTTTCCTTGACATTGTTTTGCAAAGATCTGTGTTTACTGGTGCTACTCTCGTGGAATCCAACTGCATGTTGGTTGATTTTTGTAAAATGTGACTGTATATCCACATTTGCACGGATGTATAAGTGTTGTGACACTGCATATTTTGCCAGTTCCTTGTACAAGCAAATGACTAAAACACTGCATGAAAATTGACTAACATTTGTTTCCTTTGAAATAACAGGGCCCAGATGGACTCCCAATACCAGGATGCTGGCATAAGGTTGGTATACATAGAATACTGTACTTGTCACTGAATTATTATTGCAAACAAGTGCCCTCTGAAGTGAATGGTTTATTCATTTATAGTGAACAGATTTTTGTTTTGTCCCATATACAATGTCTGTAATTTATCTAATCCTTAGTGACTAAACATTTTCAAAAGTAAAAATGTAAGATATTTATTTCAGTGCAGTGTCATTTTAACATTCTGATTTTTTTTTTTTTTTTTTGCAGTGATGACTAACAATGAAGCATGGCCTCTGTACATACTGATATGGTATATTTTGTAGATGAATATCGTTTTTACCTTTTGTAAAAAAACTTATAATATATTGAACTTTAATAAGGGACAATGTTCTATTCATCAATTAACTACGGATGTGTTGACAAAAAAAAAAAAGGAAAAGTGGTTATTAATCCACAAAGAGGATGTTTAGAAGATGTGAGCATCTGGTGGACTGATATTTCTTTTAAAAAAAGTTACAACGTATAACCTTTACATAGCTGTAAGGAAATGTAAGTGCTGCTACATGGTCTAACCGGTAAAGAAGACACCTAACATTATTGCCTGACTCACTGGTGTGTCTGCTGTGTTGGATTGCATGGAAATGGATTGGTTCATTGGCATTTGTGTGCTGTGGAATAGTTCCCTTTTTATTTTGCTTTGAAAGGATGAACCAGCTTGGCTAAGACCCAAAAGGAAGAGAATGTCTGAGCCTTAGACAGATATGGAGAGCTCAATACATTGAGTGGCTACTAAATTGTACATGAGAGGACACATGTGTCAGGCCTGTGGAACAAAAGGGACTGCACAGTTTCTCATGGAAAGTATTGGACAGTGGGGCACAAGTTTCAGACCACTGTATTTCACACTCTGGAAACCAATTCAACTACAACAAGGGTGTCTAAAGATCCTGGTGCAACAGTCGATGACTCACCTGAGCAATTCATAAAGTCAACTTGAATTTTGGGCTGCATTTTTTATTTGTCACAAAAGCATTTTCTTCACTGTTATTTCTGTGTGACTTCTCCTTTTGAGTCTAAACAAGAAAGGTAAAGAAATGCTAAGACCTATAAAACAAATGGTGCTGTCTTGATTGTTTTTAAAAACATATTTTTAATGAAAAGAAGTTGATGGGTTGTGTATTGCCTTTTTGAATAACGTCTCAACTGAAATATATAAATATAATGTAATGCAACTTTTTCATAAGTTGTCCTGGCAACATTTTCATTTAAACAAATGTACCATTTTTTTGGACATTTAATCATGTTAGTGTTCTTAGATAATAGCCTATTGTTTTCTATAGGCATGCAGTATTAACTATAATATTATTATTTATAACCTAGGTTTCTACAGTTATAAAACGTATTACCGTGGCATTCCTATGAATGGTATTTTTCTTTTGAGAAAAGAATATTTGAACTAGGCACATGCACACAATTAAATGGACTCATGGATTTGATTTGAAAATCTTAAGCTTCAAAACAAAACAAAAAATAAAATGCCCTGTTTGTTAAATAAATTGTTATGAAGCAAAACCATGAGCAACTTTACACATTGCAGAAATTTGATGGTATCATACTGTACATTATCATTGGGTTTCCTGCTATGAAAGTCTATTGAAAGGCAACTGTCCTTTCCATTTCATCTTACTCTGTCTTCCTCTCTCTATACTGTACATACAGCATGTTTACCCCCAGCTGGTGCATTTCATTCATAACTATTCCTAGACTTTAGGCTGCAGCTTTATCACAGTTTGGAATGTTTTAGTGAGAACATGCAAAACCATTAATTAGGGCATTAGACTCAAGGCTTTCTCTTGACTGAAATGGTCCCCTGCTGCTTGACTTTGCGGTCAAAATGTTCATAGCTATATCATTATTTTCTTTTCAGTTTTACACAAGAAAAGATTACATAATCAAATAATAATTAAGAAAAATATGATTAACATAAGTTATCTTGATTGTTTAACAAATACAGAAACTAAGATAATTAATCTGTGTTTTAATCCATATATTTAGGTGGGCATTGATGGTTTGTAAGATGGCACCACTGTAAAGTAGAACATACTGTACATGTTCAGCTATTTAAACTGCTTTTATATTCAGTTCTATTTGATTATAAAGAATGGCACTGAGTTAATCAGAGTACAGCTTTTAAATATAATGAACAACATACATATTATTTGTTGAAGGGTTTCAAGAAACATAAAATTATTTGATGGCTTTTTCAGTGTTTTCACTGTTCTGCAGTGATTGGGCAAGCTCTTATCTTCAGCTGTAAGTCCATGTTTTCATTTGCCTGTCTGCAATTGGTTAAGAAGCTTTCCTAAAATAGCTTTTCCATATGTGTGAATATGTGTCTGATGTTTGAAATAATTTTATATTTTTACTTTCTTTGTTCATTTGTTTGTGATGATAGTGAAGACATCACCCTTTATGTACAGCATTAAAAAGAGAGATACTGAAAATAAACGAGCTACAATAGGAGGAAAACCGTTTTCGAGTTGTAGTAAAACTTTTTTTTCACCCCAAAACTAAATATCAGACTCGTCTAAACTAATTTGACTTAAGGCAATACAAGTTTTCAAATACTCATGCAAGTTTGTAAAAAAAAAGATGTAAAAACATCTGAAAAAAGACCCAGTATATTACAGGAAAGAGCAGGCATAGTTGTAAAGTTATCAAAATTAATGTTTATTCATTTTTCTTAATATATATTAATCCATTACTGGTATTGAGTTATAAATACAACGTTTTACACAGTGTCTACTTCTAAGTGGCTTCTTAATTTTTAGTTACTAATATTTTCTTATTTTATGGATAGAACTCTAGTTAACATGAACAAAACAGATTGGTTAGATTTTAGTTTTTTTAATTATTCCTTTCTAGTGCTTGCAGAACAAAGCAAGGAATTTTTAAATAATTCATTCTGGTAAATTCCATGTCCAATAAATTAATAATATTATTCATTATCTATGTGTAAAAATAATAATATTGACAATAATAATACTCCAAATCTTTTTTTTTTCTTGTAGACTTCATATGCAAATAGTTGTGACATACTGTATAAATCTTGATATTGAGTTACTTACTTCATGGATGATTCATGGAATGTAGACTCATGAATCATCATAGCTCTGTAGAGGGAATTACAGTCAACAACTAAATTAAAGTGATTAGTCATAGAATTTGTCAACCTTATAAGACTGATCTCTCCTTCTGGTCAAAATTGGTTGTTCACTCCTTTTAAAGTATATAAAGGACCATGGTTACCTTTGAACGCATACAGGAGACAATATATGCTCATAAAATATCTTTGCTCATGACCTGATTATTCAAAACGTCCAGTCTTATAGTACCCTACAGAGTGCATATTTATTATTAAACAAATTTAAGAAGACATTTCTTAAATTTCTGCCTCCTCTATGAAGAAATTCCCACAACTGTGACCTTTGAAAGAAAAATATAGAACTGTTGTAACTCCTTATACAGTGCATGTATAGTCATATTTTCTGAAGAACACTTATATAAACTGGTTAATACTGCCTTAAAAATCACCTTGCCTGTGACCTTTGACCTCTCCTTTAGGTGAAATGCAAAAGCTGTTTAAAACTCCTTAGAGGGTGCAGTGATGGTCATGGTTATGATGAATTACAAATAAGAATCTGTATATGCTCTGTCAAAAAATGCCCATTTCCTTACCTTTCCAAATGAAAAATCATCATGCAGTTCCTTATAACGTGCACAAGATAGTTATTGTGGAATGTAAATATGTTCTATCAAAATCATGACCTTCCTGTGACCTCTAAGTGAAAATATGACATCTTGGCCCCTGGTCATCCCTGCGTTTATCTGTATTTGTATCTGTATAGGTAACATTTTAGTGGGTTATAAATGTATGTATTATTGTAACCGCACAGGGGAGGGGGGTGTCATAGTCATGGCAAAACTCACTATGACATTACGATATTATGACACGGCATTATCTTTGATCATTGTACTGTAACAAAGTTCTGATTTAAATTCATAAGGGAAGAAATAGACAAAAGCATTCCCTCACACCTTTGGGGCAGTAGAGTAACCCTGCCTTTGATGAAATTGTAACATTGAGCTTACACAATTTAAGGAGAGTATAAAGAGAATAAAGGTACCTAGCAGCCATGGCCAGTGTTAATAAGCTATAGCTGTCTGTCTCACTGTAATGTTTGTGACGCTTCATATTTTTTATGCAACAGAAGACACAGGTTTACATTTTCAGATTGCAAACAAAGTCCAAAAAAGTGATACTTTCTTATAGGTTCTCCATGATGTTCACATACTACATTTGCTTTAAAAAACAATTGTGCTAGAATTTGGGCTGGAATCTACAGACCATTCCTACTTTTCACACAGACTTACAGTACACATATGTTCACCAAGCAAAAGAATCATTGGCCTTGACCTCATTGGACTATTGTTCCATTTCCTGCTTTTTGGAATGCCTCTACAATATCTTCTCCATCACGTGCACTCTGTCTCTGAAGCTGTATGTTTCTTAGTATCATCAAGGCTTTTCTTTTTCAGTTTCGAGTATGCCCATCTTTTATAAACAATGTTTTGAAGTGTATTTGTAATTTCAGTTTTAACTTGCTGACGACAGTTTTATTGTTGTATTTGGTTGTAAAAGAATTTTCTGCTATTTTTGTAAATTCCTTCTCTTGTTTTTAAAGACATGAGATGTTCTGATAAATTAAATATACACTATAAATATTACAAAGAATGTTCTTTTTTATCTTTCCTTATTGTCTTAGTGTAGAATAACTTGATGCTAAATGGCTCCTGTTGAGGTATTGACTGTCATTTGTATTGCTTAACATATAAAACTATGCTCTCAAGTCATTAGATGCACTCAATGTGTGTTCTCTGTAACTTCAGTTTACAGCTCATCCATGGTCATTCATTATTAATATTATTAATAATATATTCCATATTGCATTTAAATTGGAATGTTTTTACGGATATAAATAGAGGTGATACACAAAGTGTCTCCTGTATAACTCTTGAGTTTACAGAATAATTTCCGCATAACCACAGAACATTGTAACAACAGTAACTGGCTCACTAAAAGTTACCGTGTTTTCACTGTCATGGTACGGATTTCAGCATGTTGATAAGCTGTTCTCCGGTTACTGGCAATTGTAAAAATAACCCTTCTTCCCTCCTTTGTTTAACTTAAAGAATTGTGTGAAGAAATCATTAATCACTTATAATAATTCATCCTGATACACACACTCATGCCAGAGCCAATTTTTCCTGTGCAGTACAATGGCTTAACATTTTAAATTTAAATTGTTGGCTGATTATATAATAATAAACTTTTTTATATCCAACTGAACAATCTTGCATTTATAAAATATACCAATTTGTGTATTACATGCTTGAAAACACAGTTGTATACAGAGTTGAAAATTCATAATTAATCGAATGAATAAAAGTCTAAACAGTATACAACTTAAGTTCTATAATTAGAAAAAGATTGTCCCTCAGCATTGACTGGAATTCAAAACCAAGCATTTTCTGTCAACAACCCAAATGCTCCACACACCGTGTTAGACTTTCAGTGCTCCACCTGGTGTTTTTGCAAAGTTGTCAACCACACAACTGAGTAATTTAAAAAACTGCGGTCTCCTGCAGGCCATGAACCGCAAAGTACTGCAGTTTACAGTACCTTGCTCATTCTGAATGGCTGGCTCTGTAAGTGATAGAAAGTAACACTGTGTATTAGTAAGGTACTGTATTCGTACATGCATATTTGTTGTGTGGGCTCTGTCCAATAGACATGTTAATAAGTCTTCTTTACAGTCATTGTTTGCAAGCCTGATGGCCTCAGAAAGAAGCTAAATTTTCTGTTTTCTTGCACTGTAGACGGCAAAAACATCTTTCTGAAAGCAAAAGTGCGAAAGATTAATGAAAGATATGAGACAAGTATAACAATGATTACATAGGCCTTCCTCAGGATCAGCTGGGCATAAAGCTGTGCCAGGGGTCGTAAAGGCTCAGCAATGATTTTGGAGCAGAGGTGTACAATATGTTTAAGGAATATTTTGTCTTTTCGACTGAGTGAAATGAATTAGACAACAGATAAAAGAGAAAGTTAAAATATGTTTAATAAAAGAGATAGTTAATGTTGAAATAATCATTTTTGACTCCAAAGAAGCTCAGCATTCTCAGACCATACAAGTGCTTTTGGTGTTTCTTCACAATGACATTGGTGAACTTACGTTTATTATCAAACACATAACTACCCTAGTCACCTTTTATCTACCTTCAACAGATTGCTGAAACCAAACTGCCCCCACAATATTACTTGCCTAATTGCAACACATTTTTAGATTTCTTTAGCTCCAAGATCTACAACATCTGGCATCACATTCTCTCCACAACTCCTCCCTGCTTGCCCACCTTTACTGGTTCTCTTCTCTCTTCTTGACTCTGCATCCGTCAGTAAACTGATTTTGCATATGAAATTCACCACCTTCCTATAAGATCTCATTCCCACTGCTTTATTTCAATCCTGTTTCATTACTCTCTGCCCTATTGTCCTCAATATAATTAATCAATTCTGGCACTGGTGTTGTACCAACAGTCCTCAAAAGTGTTGCCTTACCCCTGTGCCAAAAAAAAAAAGCTAAGGCCTTCTCATTTCATGCCCCAAAGCTCTGGAACTCTATCCCCAAGGATATCAGAGAGTCACCTCCCCTAAACTCTTTCAAATCTACAAGTAATAGGTTTATTCCATGCTGAAAAGAGAAGAACAAAAACACAACGTTTCAGCCTTTGAAGGCTCCATGGCCAAAACATGTTTTCTTTCTTCTCTTTTCAGCATGGAATAAACCTATTACTTGTACTTGTTCCTTTGCAGCCTGCGCATGCTGACGCAGCTACCCACCTGAACTCTTTCAAATCTTGACAAAGCCGAAACCTCCTATAGAAGATTACTAGATTCTGTCATTTTCCCTTTGCGTCTACCATATTCAGTACCCCCATCTACTGTCTCCTCTCATTGTGTATTTTCATAGTGCATGTCTTGTATTTTTTGTTGTTGTTGTTCTGTAAACCACTTTGAGAAGCCACCTTTAAAGGCACTATATAAAATAAAGTTGTTGTTATTAATATTAAGCACCTCAGGTGGGGAATTGAATCCAGGACCCCAGCATTGCAAGGCAGCAATCATAACCACTGCATCACCATGCTGTCCAGGTAGTGCAAGACATATTTTATATTTTATAATAAACACTAATCCAGATGTGGTGTTTCTAAAAGTCCCATTCACTGCAGATACAACGGGCACAAACATTGGCGGTCTAGTGTGGCTAGACAAATTTGAAAAATATTGATGGTGAATACTTATGATGAGAACATATTATTTACAGATGCAGCCATTCAAAGTGCGCGGTACACATACGAACCGGAGGTAATTGGCTACGGCGTCGTGCATTGTGACGCACAATGACGAGCG